CATTTGCCGACGAGAGGCGGGTATATCCGCCCTATCCTTTATAAATAATACTTATGTATCTATATTGTGTAGTTCATTACTACTCTAATATACAATTATTAATTAAATAGTTATTGCTAAGCTTTTAATAATATTTATTTATTCGAAAAGTAAACTTTGAACTTATTTTTATCAAATATTTTATGATTAAATATTATAGCGAAAGACGATCCATAGAATAGCATTATTTCCGCACAATATGTCCGTTACGTTGACCTTATTGTTGCCGACTCGCAATGGGTTTTGTAAGAATTAGACATTGTTGCGTGCACAATGATCCGAGCTTAATAAATTTCCACTGAACGTTGAAATAAATTGCATCTGGTACATCATGATCTCAACGAAAACCTACATTTGTCATTAAAAGACCGGCATTTTATTGATGTAATCGTTAATGCAATATCTCATTCAATTAAATTTAACAAAAAAGTAATAATATATTAAATTGTGTAATAAGTTCCCTCGCTTTTTTTTTATTTTTTCTTGCAAATTTGTGTTTTGTTTGATAATGTGTATATATGCATTCGCAAGTATTTTTCTTGTTCTACAAACCTATCTGCTTCTATTTTTCTAATTAATTAATTTTAATCAACTTTCACACTTTTGAAATGGATGTTGCAGGATTCAAAAAAACATCATTTTGGGCATTGGTACATTTCTCCTTTCGTCGTGGTCAAAAAAGCTACGGAAGCAGTTTGCGACATTTATAACATAATGGAGTAGATGACCGCTAAAAATTGGGTTTCCAAGTTCAAAAATGGCAATCAAGATCTCCATCTCAGGAAGACAATTATTTGCGACTGATGAGACTGTAAAGGTGTAATCATCTGGGAAATACTAGAGAAGAACAGGTCTGTCGACAAGGAATGCTATCTCGTCTAACTTCATCGCGTGAACGAAGCAATTCTGCAGAAAAGGGCCGTTCAACGTGATCAAGTCATCTTTCTTTACGTTCCCAAAAACCGCAAATATCGTCAATGAGGCTTTGAATAATCTCGAATGGGTGTTCTACATCATCCTTTATACTCTCCGGACCTTACGCCAACGGATTATCACCTTTTCCGTTCCATGTCGAATTAAACGAAGGACGTTACTTTCGCCTACAATGTAGACTGAAAATTGATTAAAACTTATTACACAACCCAATATATAATTAAAAATTATATCTTCCAATAATGTTGAAAATAAAATAATGCTCAAAGTGACAAGTGACATCTATCAAATGTCAAAATGAAAAGAAAAATCGAAACATGCCTGTTATAAATTTGTAAAAACCGACCTAATTGAATATAGTAATTCCATATATAATTAGGTAATAATTGTATGTAATTACAGTAATGAATATTTTGTTTGAAAATAATTAATTAAAATAGGGCAGAAAGACCTATGGTCAATACCCATTTTCAGCAATTCATTTTATTTTAATCTTTGTTATTATGTTAACTTTATTGCAATAATAATGATTACTATTAATTAAAATGGTTTACAGGTATTAATTAAAATAAAAAAGTTAAATTGTTATCAAGTAAATTTATGTGTTTTATATTTATATTCCATTGTCTTATTTAAATGTGCACGAGGTAGGACGGTACATGCATTTCTATACCATCCGTAGGATTTAATAAAAGCCGCAGGCGCTTTTAATTAAGAAATACCTGTCCCAAGTCGGTATTGCACATTTATATTATAATAAAATACAAAGACTTTCCGCTTTACGCCCACAGCAGTTCTTGGGGAAAAAGTCAATTTCTTTTCCTAATATAAAGTTATACACGTCCTCACGGTTTGACGTCAACATTGAAATAAGAAAATTTCATTTTAAAAAGCTTACCGTGATATTTTCAATTCAGAGAGTCACATATATAATGCAAAGCAAACAAAAAAAAACGAGACATTTCACATTTTTTTCCCTGTATATTAAATGTGAATAATGCATTAGAACGTGTCGACAAATCAACATCCATTAACTCGGATGTTGCACAATAATTGCTGATTTGATATAATATTCAATACATTATCAATAATTACTGTTTGATTTGCCTGTAACAATGTATATTCAAATTAGATTATGTGTATTCACAACATTGCATGTTTGTTTATGCAAGTTAACGCAATAATGAACATAGCATAATTAAAAAAGAAAACAATCCAATTTATTTACATTGGAAATTAAAGCCTTTATTTGTACAATAAGCTAATTTTGCTAATTTACGCTAGTAAATTTTATACAAATAAAATAACAAAACAAAAACATATATTGTTTTACGCGAATTATACACATTTCGTTTTATCGGTTTATAAAATTAAAATTGTGATTAATTAAATTAAATTGTGATTAATATTCAATATAAATCGGTTCAGCCACACAGATTGAATCGAGGACTTTGCAAATTTTTAAACCGTACTATAGTGAATCCGCACTGATCGAAGCCATTGATGTACAGCAATGATTTTGTACTTTAGGCAATATTATTAATAATAGAAACATCAATTTTACCGATAATATAAGAGTTGACACAATCAAAAGGTTATTTTAAATTTTCAAGCAAGTTACAATAATTTAAAAGAACTGTGCAATTTTTTGAACCGTACTATAGTGAATCCGCACTGATCGAAGCCATTGATGTACAGCAATGGTTTTGTACTTTAGGCAATATTATTAACAATAGAAACATCAATTTTACCGATAATATAAGAGTTTGCACATTCAAAAGGTTATTTTAAGTTTTCAAGCAAGTTACAATAATTTATAAAGACTGCAAATTTTTAAACCGTACTATAGTGAACCCGCACTAATCGAAGCCATTGATGTAAAGCAATGATTTTGTACTTTAGGCAATATTATTAATAATAGAAACATCAATTTTACCGATAATATAAGAGTTGACACAATCAAAAGCTTATTTTAAGTTTTCAAGCAAGTTACAATAATTTAAAAGGACTGTGCAATTTTTTTAACCGTACTATAGTGAATTCGCACTGATCGAAGCCATTGATGTACAGCAATGATTTTGTACTTTAGGCAATATTATTAACAATAGTAACATCATTTTTTCCGATATTATAAGAGTTGACACAATCAAAAGGATATTTTAAGTTTTCAAGCAAGTTACAAAAATTTATAAAACGTAATTTTTGTTTTAAAACATAGATGATTTTATTTATTGTAGAAAATTACAGTTGACATGAAATGTGACAAATGTGTGAAATATTTTGAAAGTTTCATAAGGAAATTTCAATATTTATTTTAGTTTCGGTCGATTTGATCGGATTCGGTCAACGATTTATTTATATGTTAATAAAAAACAATTTTCTCCCGGCTGAAGTTTGGCCAGTATAAATTGTGCGCCGGTGGAGTGAATAAACTTTGAATAAGAAATTCGGTGAAAAATGCGCATTTTTTGGCTCTGGCATATTGAAATAGTGTTTTCTGGGTTAGGGAAGGAAGAGGAGAAGAGGTCTTGACACGAGGACGTTGAGAAATTGGAAACAATTTAATCCGTGCGGCATTGAACTTTATGACTTTCCAATTACAGGAAAAGTTCGTGGATGGAAGAAGGCAAAAACCGAACAGAATAAGAAGAGGACTGACTGAGAACAAAAAAAAAAGGCGGCCGTGGGGAAGTGCGACGAAAGAAATGATATAAGCGTTTCCTTAGAAGCCACAAAGTCATTTCTCCATTAAATGTAATTTGTCGGGGATTGGCGATTGAATTGGATTTGGCTCCGATGGAGAATTCCGTGTTGAATACGACGACTTCGAGCATCTTTCAAGCCACAAGACCCGGGAGCGCTTCATAATCCCACCCCCTCCATCATCCCTATCCATCTCTCTGTGGTTACCTTTTCATTAAAGTTTTATTCCGCGGATGCTGAAAATCATAATAAAAGGAGTGAAACCCTAAAATTTGCTTATATACTTTAGTGGTTGCATTAGCTAACCGACACTAAATTAAATTTTTTAATAAATATTTATGAAATTGAAGTACGTGCAAATAAAAAAACACAAATGGAACGTGGAGTGCAAAAGAGAGGGGAAAAAAACTTTTACGGTTTGAGTCCATCTGGTTGATTAAAGTCAGTTGCAGATGACGACAAAGAGTTATGAGGCTTATTATTTTCAGGACGACAGAGCTTTTGTAATGCAGGTGAAATTTAAATAGGGCCCTGAAATTGTGTAGCTTCGTTTCACATGAAAATACAGAATTCCACTTGGAATTGAATACAAAAAAAAAGTCCTTAACGAATAATTATTTGTTAACGTGCAACATAATTTCATAAATATTTATCGTTAAAGTACAAAATTTTGTAGCTCGTGATGACGTGTTTACTACTTATATGGGCAGAGATTTATATTAGCAGAGTCTATTAGTCGCCACGCGAGTAACGTTTCTACTAATGTAATTAACGTTTAAATACAGCCCCAAAATTGTGAAGCTTCGTTTTGTATAAAAATAAAAAATTCCACTTGGAGTTGCATGACTGTAGTGAATAAAATAAAAAATAAATTACAGACCTTAGTATGTAATAACGAATCATTATTATGTTAACATGTTTTTATAGTTCTGAGTATATTAAAAGAAACTATAATCTGAGAAATATTGATCGTTAAAGTAAGTGCTCCACAAAAATTTTGTAGCTCAAGATGACGTGGACACCAGTTTTATAGCAACAGCAAGGACGACCGAAGAATGAACAAAGATTGTACCAGGATCACGCGCCAACGCTGGCTGCTATAGCTACTAACAATTTTATTCGTATTTTATGGATGTTGCCTGGAAAACGTTTAGTTTGTTCCACTTTGCGAACTGCACTGCACTGCAAATGCTATTATCATATTCAGAGTGGTAGAAAGACGGAACGACGAAAACAGCTTTCAACATGTGTTGGTCGCTCACACACGGTCTACGTTTTTAATTAAATTTTGTCAAGAGTTAAATTAATGGAAAAAAATCTCTTACCGGTACTCCTCCCACGCCAATAACATATAAAAGCTGTGTCATAAATAGAGCTGCTAACAAGTTCATTAACGTGGTGCCTGCCAAACTGCGTAAATCGGAAAACAAGCTGGAACAAAAGATACACCATCATTATTAATTATACACGGCGAATAGGTTATTCACAAGTGCAAGAACTTCATTATAGACTCAATTAAATTGTATCCAATCCAATTAAGCGCAAGCTTTGGAAATTTTATATCGAAAATAAATTGAATAAAATTTCATATTTTATACATAAAATGAACATACATATATTTAGTGGTGATATTTAAATGTTTGTTAAAGAAAATATTTATAATATCGTTAAGTAATTGAATAAATAAATATAAATTATGGTTCTAAAAATACAGTTATATTTATTTTATGTTTCATTTATCGTTTAAATTTATTTTTTGCGAGTTTTTGAGGAAACATTTCTGCCAAAATTATTATATCATATAAGCCCTTGAAGTAAGAACTTTGCAACTGAAAGTAGACCAAGGACGTCGCGAAAAACGTGTCTGGAATTTTCAAAACAAAGGTTAAACTTTTTTACATCATTCTTCATTCATCATAGTACTACTAATGTAGCGAGTATGGATGCTTTGTTTCTAAATGTATAGTATACAATAATTTCTGAAATTATATAACTAAACCTTTTAGAATGTGTAACGATGTGTAAGTAAGTAGGTATTTTTTCTTTCATGGGTCAAGAAAATTAACTTATTTTTAAATATATTAAATAAGTTTTTTTTTTAAATTTATATTACAGAAAACACGGAATGGAAGGTTGAGTACGAATATTATGACAATTTGTGTAATAAAATTAGAATGAAGTGAAAAAACAAATGTAGAAAAATTAATATATTATAA